CTCCAAGATTAAACAGACCTCAGTGGATTATAGCCTGTTTGTAAAATGGTGGAGAGTATCTCTAAAATATTGTAGTCAATTCGTATATCTGGAATACATTTAATTTCCACTCATGACAGCCCATATGCAATACTCATCATGCTTGTTTTCATGCCTTGTGTTTACTAAGAGACACACATTTTTGTCATTCACTATATTAATTAATAAATTATCTATTATTCATTGATATACAAATATCAAAAGTGCTTATAGTAGGCCCCTCAAGATAATGGATTTTATTTTTAGAATCTCAACAATCTGCTCCTAGGCTGTGCATTTTTTAAAAAAAAAATTAAGTTCAATTTAGTTAACATATAGTGTATTATTAGTTTCAGGGATAGAATTTTGTGATTCATCAGTTGCATTATAACACCCAGTGCCCATTACATTAAGTGCCCTCTTTCATGCCCATCACCCAGTTAACCCATTCCCTATCCACCTCCCCTCCAGCAGCCCTCAGATTGTTTCCTAGAGTTAAAGAGTTTTTTATGGTTTACCTTCCTCTCTGTTTTCATCTAATTTTATTTTTCCTTCCTTTCCTCTATGCTCATCTGTTTTGTTTCTTAAATTCCACATGAGTGAGATCATATGATAATTGTCTTTCTCTGACTTATTTCACAGCATAATACCCTCTAGTTCCATCCATATTGTTGCAAATGGCAAGATTTCAGTTTTTTTGATGGCTGAGTAATATTCCTTTGTGTGTGTGTGTGTGTGTGTGTGTGTGTGTGTGTGTGTACATTTTCTTTATCCATTCATCGCTTGATGGACATCTGGGCTCTTTCCATATCTTGGCTATTATGGACATTGCTGCTATAAACATTGGGGTGCATGTGCCCCTTCAAATTACGATTTTTGTATCCTTTGAATAAATACCTAGTAGTGCAATTGCTGGATCATAGAGTAGTTCTATTTTTAACTTTTTGAGGAAACTCCATACTGTTTTCCAGAGTGGCTGCACCAGTTTGCATTCCCACTAACAGTTAAGAGGGTTCCCCTTTCTTCGCATCCTTGCCAACATCTGTTTCCTGTGTTGTTAATTTTAGCCATTCTGACTGGTGTGAGGTGGTATCTCATTGTGGTTTTGATATGTATTTCCCTGATGCCGAGTGATGTTGATTAAAATTTTCATGTGTCTGTTGGCCATTTGTATATTTTCTTTGGAGAAATATCTGTTCATGTCTTCTGCCCATCTCTTGACTGGATTATTTGTTCTTTGGGTGTTGAGTTTGATAGGTTCTTTATGGATTTTGGATACTAGCCCTTTATCTGATAAGACATTTGCAAATATCTTCTCCCATTCTGTAGGGTTGTCTTTTGATTTTGTTGACTGTTTCCTTTGCTATGAAAAAACTTTTTATCTTGAGGAAGTCCCAATAGTTCATTTTTGCTTTTGTTTCCCTCGCCTTTGGAGATGTGTCTAGCGAGAAGTTGCTGTGGCCGAGGTCAAAGAGGTTGCTGCCTGTGTTTTCCTCTAGAATTTTGATGGATTCTTTTCTCACATTTAGGTCTTTCATCCATTTTGAGTTTATTTTTGTGTATGGTGTAAGAAAATAGTCCAGTTTCATTCTTCTGCATGTGTCTGTCCAATTTTCCCAACACCATTTATTGAAGAGACTTTTTTCCACTGGGCATTCTTTACTCCTTTGTCTAAGATAAGTTGAATATAAGCACTTGACAAAATGCAGCATCCTTTCTTGATAAAAACCCTCTACCATGTAGGGATGAAGGGAACATACCTCAACATCATAAAAGCCACACAGGAAAGACCCACAGCAATATCATCCTCAATGGAGAAAAACTGAGATCTTTTCCCCTAAGGTCAGGAACACGACAGGGATGTTCACTCTCACCACTGTTGTTCAACATAATACTGGAAGTCCTAGCCTAGCAATCAGATGACAAAAAGAAATAAAAGACATCCAAATTGGTAAAGAACAAGTCAAACTTTCAGTCTTCACAGATGACATGATACTCTATATAGAAAACCCAAAAGACTCCACCAAAAAATTGCTAGAACTGATAATAGGAATTCATCAAAGTCATAGGATATAAAATCAACGTACAGAAGTCAGTTGCATTTCTGTAGACTAACAATGAAGCAGAAGAAGGAGAAATCAAGGGATTGATCCCATTTATAATTATGCCAAAGACTATAAGATACCTAGAAATAAACCTAATTAAAGAGGAAAAGGATCTCTGAAAACTATAGAACATTTATGAAAGTAACTGAAGATGCAAAGAAATGGAAAAACATTCCATGCTCATAGATTGGAAGGACAAATATTGTTAAAATCTCTGCTAACTGAACATAATAAAAAAAAATGTCTGTGCTATCCAGAGCAATCTACACATTCAGTGCAATCCCTATCAAAATACTATTAGTATTTTTCACAGAGCTGGAACAAACAATCCTAAAATTTGTATGGAACTAGAAAAGACCCTGAATAGCCAAAGGAATGTTGAAAAAGAAAACCAAAGCTGGAGGCATCACAATTCTGGACTTAAAGCTGTGATCATCAAGACAGTATGGTACTGGCACAAAAACAGACACATAGATCAATGGAACAGAATAGAGACCCAGAAATGGACCCTCAACTCAATGGGCTCTGCATTTTTGAGTAGGTGCTAGCAACACCTGGGTTATAGCTCACCCTAACAACATACATTTAATTGCATTGTATTTTAAAGTAAATTAGTTACAAATTATACACATAACAAGTAGTATAACCATATTACATATAAAACATGCTTTTGGGTGCCAGTGTGTTAAGTCATTATTTGGAGTTTTGAAATGAATGGCAGAACTTTTTGATAACTTTTTTTTTAATCTTACCCTTACCATTTTAATTTAAACAAATTTAACATTATTACCTCCTAGATGTCCAACATGTCATTAAATGCTTTTTTTTTTCATTTTTCAAGTCTATCCACAGTTGAAATGTCTTCTAACTGACATTCTTACTAGCTTTGTTTATAGGCAAGCCTGTACTTTGTTAATTACTTATGTGACTGAGTAAACCCTGGGTGAGAGCAGACTGGTGAAAAAAAATCAGGAAACCAGAGTTATTTTCCATAATCGTCTCATGGCTTCATAAAATTATGGAAGTTGTTCAGCTTGAATGTATTCAAAGAAACACCCTTTGTTATCTACCCTTCTCTATTCCTAGAATAGTAGTAGCTAGTAAAATAATGTATGCGAAATGTAGTAGAACTTATGTGCCCTAATGACTTAAATAGCTTTGGAAAGTAAAATATCCTTTAATCAGTAAATATTTGATGAAGGAATACTTATCTACTAAGAAATATTTTTTGATTGTCATATGATAAAATATCAACTCAAAGTCTGTGTGATTTGGTCAAGTTACTTAACCTTTCTAAAGCCTTGGCTTCTTCGTAAGTAAAGGTAATAATAGTAAGTACTTCACAAGGTTAAAGATTAATAAAATAATATGTTTAAAACCCATAGCAAAGTGTCTACCACATATGTTCTCAAAAATGGTAGCCATTTCAATGAAAAAAAAAAAAAAAAAAAGCACCCAAAGAAGACTTTCAAGAGAGTAGTCAACAGTGTCCAAGTGATCTCCGGTCACTCAGAGAAGCATGGGCTGCAGCAAGTGGGAATTCAAAATACCAGCTTTTCTTCTAGGATGTGATATATATGTGCCTGATAAACCACTCATTCTGCAGAATTGCACACTAAAAATAGTAGAGCCTATGGGGAAAAAAAATTAAGGTTTAGGCAGACCACTCAAAATCTGTGCAGCTTTACATTGTTGTTGTTAGTTCCCTAGTTATAATCCTAATGAAAGTATTAACCCCATTAACTCTCTAGCAACATTTGCACTCAACATCACAGCCCACTAACCATTTGCATCCCATTTCCTCTCAAATGGAGTAGATGGCAGTTACTGAATGCATTCTAATAGTTTGATGAAAATTAAACATCTGATTCAAGCTACAGGGAGACATCTTCACAGCTTCTTTCTGTAACAGAAAGCTTAACTGTTGAAAAGTCTAGGGTTCTTGACTCCACTCAGCCAACCCCTCTTTGTGGTACGGGAATTGGCTTGTCCAGGATTTTTGCCACTCATCTCCATCTTTTTAGGACTTTATACATTGTGAAGGCCTTCTCTTTAATTGGGATAAAAGCTTGTGCCTGATCACCTTAAAATGTTAACATGCTAGACAAAAATCATATGAACCAGCAAGACATCCAAAGTCCAAACTATATTGATATTGTTCATTATTTACCAATGGCAAAGGAGCTCTTTTATATAAATATGTATTTACTTAAGTATACTATGTATTAGATGAATGAATTCTGAACTCCCCTAAAGCTCTTTGGAACTAAGTTGTTTATAGAGAATAAAGGAATATAAATCAAACATGTTTCTCTTGTTGCTTCTGTTTCATGTATATCTAACACTTTTAGTGGTAGTTTAATGTGACTTAGATACAATAGAGACATCTGTTAGACATTTTTCCTGTTCTCATTCCCTACAGTTGGCTGAAAAGTCTATGAAATTATCTCTGGATCACTAGCAGAAGTCTCCATTCCTGTTAATAATTACTGTTTAGTATCAATTTGATTTATCCTATTCCTATAGCAGTATTTGCCCCCCCCCCAGAGAAAACATCTTATAGAGTAGCCTCTAAGGCATTTCTGTCTAATTCTAGCATTGAAAGATCAAACTGTGCCTTTGATGTATTTGGGAGGGTTGTTGTGCAAGATAGGCAGAGACCATTTTGATCAAATTATTCCATGTGCATAATATACTTTACGTTTTATATTGGTATTAAAGTATTATAATCTAACTGGTCCACTTTACCAAATCTTCATGAATTTTTTAAAAATAGTTATACTGTATTTTGTCACTTCATATCAGTGCAGCAAGTTCTTACTTACAAATTATATGCATAATTTTGTTGGGTTACACTTTTATGTCATTTTATTTTAGCTACTTTAAGAGGAGATGATTCCATTATTTCAAGTCCTGATGTCACGGATATTGCACCAAGTAGAAAGAGGAGGCAGCGGATGCAAAAGAATCTTGGGACAGAACCTAAAATGGCTTCTCAGGTACATGGGCCTCAAGAAAAGGAGAAGTAAGTCATTTTATTTTTTGCCAAATGATGAAATACCATTTAAAAAATCTAATATCTGATCTCAAAAATTATATTTTCATTTCTGAGTTTACTTAAGGCTATTTTTAAAGAACAAGAATTGTGATTTTGGAAAATGTAAAATGTTCAAATCAATATATTTTCTCTGGTATTTGGTTAGTTCCTATTAATATTTAAAGCAGAAGTGCTAAAAATATAAGCAAAATGTTTTTTTCTTGTGGTTTTTGTAGATTAATTAGAAATGGCGTGTAGATACTAAAAATATTAGAATCCAGCTTGTTTTCTGTAAAGTGTTTCAATCTAATTTACTGCTTTAAACAGACCCATATAGCATTTGAATTAGCTACTTGATTTGGTTATGCTTGGAATTTTCTCAAGTGGGAAGTCTCATTCTAGTCATCTATTTCTTTCTATTAAATTTTGGAATTACATGCTTTATTGTTAGAGTTTTTCACTCTTTCATTCACATACCCTCCTTTGATCTGCATCCCAATTTAGTTGTAATGAGTTGAGGACTTGGGATAATTAACACTTTATTGTAGCAAAACAGTCAACATTTATAAAGAATAATTTATCAGTTGAATCCAAAATGAATGTGCACATCATTTGTATGTTTGGATATATGTATGTGTGCCCTTAGAATTTATTTCTTTTTCTGTAAACTTTTTATTAACTTTTAGCGAGTAGTTATTAAACAGTAGCCATATGACAAATGATATTACAGGTCATTGGTTTCACAGTGTGAAATGAGGACCTCTGGGGTTATCCGTAAGCTCATCCCTTCTTCAATTCCATACCTGTGTGGAATATATTTCATATAATGCAATTAAAATAACATGTCAGATCTGATGGAATGCAGGGGCTTATGAGAATCCAACTCTTTTCATTCAAGCCAGCCATGAAACAGATATGTAAAAGTGTCAAAGATTGCTCTCACAAGAGTTTTTGGGAAATATAATGATCTTTCATAAAGAATATGACATCTGTGTTATCATATACTGGGTTTATTATTACTTTTAAATGAATTAATAAAGATATAAAAATTTTCAGGTTTTAATTTTTTTTTTAAGATTTTATTTATTTATATGACAGAGAGAGAGACACAGTGAGAGAGGGAACACAAACAGGGGGAGTGGGAGAGGGAGAAGCAGGCTTCCCACAGAGCAGGGAGCCTGATGCAGGGCTCGATCCCAGGACCCTGGGATCATGACCTGAGCCGAAGGCAGACGCTTAACGACTGAGCCACGCAGGCGCCCCTTAATTTTTGAATATGATATAGTACACATAAACAAAAGCTTTTGAGGTCCTCAAGAACTTTTAAAAGTGTGAAGACGTCCTGAGAGCAGAAAGTTTTAGACAATGAGGATACCAAGACAGGCACAATCCAAGCCTTCAGGAAACTGATGGTTTGATAGGAGGGAGTTTTCAAGTTTCTTGTTTGAAAACAAGCATTGTACAGTTAATAGTGGAATTATTTTCTTTGTGTATTTATCATTGGGTTTTTATTCTCTCCACAGTTGGCCTGATCTATTGGTACTTGAAAATGCCTTTATGGTTTTATGCCCTTATGTCTTCAGACAATACATATAAAAACCCAAAGTGTACTAAACTCTTAGTGATTTGTGTTTATCATCTGAATTTATTCATTAGCTCATAAACTGCTGACTTCATAGAATTCAAAGGTATTGCATTATCTCTTTTAAATAACGAACCAAAAATATTTCCAGTTTGCAAACATAAGAGCAGCCAGGCTAATCCTATAGATTAATATGGGAAAAAATAAAATTACAAGCAGTTTGAAGTATTCAGGAAACTCTGTACTTCATTCCGTCAATCTGTAAGCAAATGAGCAATGAGAACCAGTTGTGTGCAGACATAAACTGGATGTTGAAGATTCAGGAGAGTAGAAAACAGACGCAGCCCTGTCCTCATATAACTTTTGGTTTTACGTTTTTTCTGATAAAGATTTCAGGGTCTGAGGGAAGACTGAATATATTGGTTTTATGTTAGAGAGCCGCACCTTACGTCTTTTCACTGTGTGTGTGAACGACATACAAGCTTTTGAGGTTACTAACATTTTCTGATTACATGATATTGCTTGAACAGCTTTCCAATATGCATGGGACAGAGATGAAGAAAGTTAAATCTGAATCAAGACTAAATATTTTATTTAGACTTTTTAATAAATGCAGTGTGTTTGTTTCCACCAAATATATGCAGTTAATGTTGTGTTCCTTTTCTGTGTTTTGATAATCGTGCCAGTACTTATTTTGTATATTTTCACTACTTTAAAAGTTGATATAAACCATATCAGCTTCTTCAAATTGTCTGCTAATTATATTACTTTGGACCTTTAGGCTCAACTGGCCCTTACAAGAAATGAAAAACATATGTTAGATGTCAGGAAGAATTTTAAAGATGAAAGGAAATTTAGTTTAACATTTATCAATCCGATGGTGAGTGGTTGATACCCTGCTTTACAATTCCTCTTCCTTTTCCCAAATAAAGCAGAAAGAGAAATTAATTTTTTGTTTTTTATTTTTATATACTTTTGGGTTTTGTTTTTTCCATTTTGAATACAGAAGGCTGAAATTTTATGGCTGTTAAAGTTTAAAGTCCTAGTTCCTTCCCAGTCTTCTTCATCAAAAACATCAGAAAGCTTCTACAAAACAAAAAATAAAAACAAGCTCTTAACTGTGAAGAAAACTTAAAATAAGACATTCTCAAATACTGATGATTAACCCTTATTTTATGTTTTTTAAATTTAAACTACTACCTATTTCCTAACTTCCTAAACACCTTTTTTCTCTGATGATTTCTCATGTACCTCAGTTAGGCAAATATACTCTTAACTGTAGCCTCCCAAACAAATGCAGATGTGGATGTTTACTTCTTAGGGCTGAAAAGATATTGGCCCCTAACTCTATAAACTTCTTAGTGTCCTAAGCCCTCTTTGACAAATTCTGTGGCCTCTAGTCCCTTCAAATATTCCCACTGGGCATCTTGCATATTTTTTCTTTGGCTTCTCTTGGCTTCTCTAGCTCTCCACCTCAAAAACAAAGTGGAGGAAGGGAAAATCATAGGTACTCTGATTTAATTTAAAAAAATTTATGTCTGCTACTGGATTTTGTGCAAGTCATTGCCTCTTTCTGGAATTTCGTTTTCTCCTTTGTAAAGTGAAAGGATTGAACTAGATGATCTGTAAAATCTCCCAATATCTATAATTTTATTATACTTTCATCTACTTTCAAAACATGAACATGATTCAGCAATAAATTACTCACCCATTTATTAGGTATTAGCAATTAAAATTCATGAAAAATATAAGATTAAAAAAATACAGATATCTATGAATGAGAAAATTGTCTTTTAAGTTTATATATTTATGAGTATTTCACAATGTAAAAATTTTAGTACATTTCTATATACCATGGATTACTTTGTACTCTTAAAAAAATCTAAATACTAAGGTATACTAATACTAATCCATAAAACAAAATCATGGTAATTTTTACATTTATTTAAAATTTATTGTGATACTGTCATTGGTACAGTGACAAGCTGTGGGAGAAGAGAGAGATAGAAAATAAATAAGAATTGTGGTAGATGCTTTATATGTGATCCCTCATTTAAATCTCACACAGATCCTACAAGGTAGATATTAATTTACCCTTCTTACAGATGAAAAACAACTCAGGCTCAGAATTACATTTTATTTTTCTAGAGCAACACAACCATTGTTTTATTTTAAAAGCCTGTGCTTGGTTCAATGCCTGAAGGGGCTTATAATCTATTGAGAGACAGAGATATACACAAATAATTTTGTGGTTACAAGAACAGAGTGAGAGGAGAACACCAGCCTTAAGATTTTAAATTGGAATGTTATTACAAAATTTTAAGTTATATCATAAGTGGGAGTAGTTTTAGGACATTTTATGTGAATCTGAGACCCACTTTTGATCTATATTAGAGAGGTATGCTTAGACCTAATCGATGGGGTCTCTAATTCCATCTCACCAGCGTGGCAATATTAGAAAATCAGAATGTGTTACTTACCTATCATATTTAAGTGTGTTCATGGTTAAAAAGTATAATAACCTAATTCCTTATGAATTAATATGACAGCATTATGAAACAGTAATTGTAATTTAGCCGCCTTTGATAAAAATTGCATTATTTTTTAGCTGAGAGAAGTAAATCAATTTGTAAGTAAACTTTTAAAATTTCTGGGCAAACTATGTATATTAAATATGAAAGAGAACTTTGTAGTAAAGTTATTTTTACCAATAAAACTACTAAATAGTGAAATACACAGTACAGTTTTTAGCAGAAAACATGACTAATAACTATTATGGGAATGTTTACCATATTCTATAAGATTTTATTCAAATATCTTGTTTATGTTATATTAAGGATAGAAAAGTGAAGTCAAGCTTCATATATTTGCTTTTGATAAAAAGTATGCCTAAAACTTCAGGAATAAGATTAAACTAAGTACTGAAGCCACATAAAGACCCAAGTCTGTTCAATTTCTTCATTCTCATTCGCTCTTACCTCCTTTCTACATTTTTCTACGGTAGAAAGACAACAGATTTTTCTTCAGATAGATGTAAGGACCCAGGCAAATCAGAGGTGACTTCTCAGAGTGTCTGGGCTCTAAAATACCATTTAATGAGTGGATAGCAGTATGATTAGTGAACAACTAGATACCTTCCACACAGGAAAATTTAGCACATTAATTTGTCAATAAATGTAAAAGCTATAGTGAAGGTAATTTCTCAATAGATAATCAAATGTTAACATAAAGTAAAATTCCACCCTTAATACAAAAACAATTATTCTTTAGCCATATAAGAAAATATTAACAAAAACTAGGAAACTAAAACTGCATTTGTAATGGTCACAGCTTTTATAATTAGTCTAGTGTGTTGAGTAAGTTCTAAAAAAATGTGTCACTCCGAGTGTCTTAAAAATATTTTGTG